CTGTCTTTCTCCTGCTAATGCTGGGCACTTCACACAACCCATGATTTATGTGCTATTCACTATCAATGCTAACTTTATACTTAAACCCTATTGATTGACTTGATTACTCTAAGTAGAAACCAAGTCAATCACCAGCTCCTTACTCACCCAACCCCAGAAGATGTTTATTGCTACAGTTTAGTTTGTTGGCTAAGAATGAGTGTTCTGTATCAACAATCAATTCCTGTTCTACCACACTCTGGCACTGAGATATTGGTGAGTATTTTAACCTCTCTAAGCCTCAGTTTTTCATCTGTAACACGGGGATAATAATAATAACTATATCATAAGGTTATTGTGAGGACTGAACGGGATGCATCATAAGGTGGTTGGCCCGGCATCTTGTGTGCAGCAAGGCTGCATAAACATTAGTTTACATTAGAACCCTCTACAGCGGTTTCTCCTAAACATCATCATCAGTATCATTTTGTCTCTTCCCTACTATCTACCAAATTGAACTCTGCCTACACTGATAATCTGACCAGACCCTTCCACTTCCCACAAATACTCTGTTACTCACTGGGTGATCTTCTCTGCAACATTATCCTCAAAAGAATGCTTGTCCTGCCTATATGAGAGTCCTATCAGCTCATACTCTTTCACGAATGCTCCATCTGATAGGATTTCTGTCAGTCCTAACATCCTATAAAGGAATTGGCTTTATTAGCAATAATAGTTTGAATAGTCAAACCATGTATTTGCTTGTCCATATTGCTATTTATGGTTTGCTTAATGTCCAATTTAGCTAATGCTTTTAAACATCTTCTCTTTTTAAAGTACTAGTGCCTGTTTTCCAATACTAAGAAACAATCTTACCCCAATTGCCCTTATAACTGGTAAAAGAACTAAGAAAATTAAACCCTCAAGCTATCATGGGCATAATGCCAATACTCTTCCAAGAAATTTCTTTAGATATCCCCAACTGGATGTAAGTTCCCTTTTCTTTTAGCCTACGTGACAATTTATTCGTATTTAGCTTTGATTTTGAAATGAGTTTTAAAGAGTGGGTGGAATTAGAGAGAGAGGGTAAATCTGCATGATATCAAGAAAAGAGAGTATAAATAACATATTTAAAAAACTTTGTAGGGACAGGCTGGATTCAAATTCTGGATTTTGGTATTGATTCCTGTGTGATCTTCCTCCTGTGTGAACTTCCTCCTGTGTGAACATCCCCCACTCTAATTCTCAGTTTATTATTCTATAAGTGTAGATAATAATGCTTTCTTTAAAAATGTTATGAGAATAAAATTTTAAAATCCATATAAAGTAAAGAGAAAGATACTCAGAAATAATTTCTTTCCATAATAAAGTAAAGTAGAATCTTGAGTTTGCACATGGAATCCAAGAGTACAAAGAATGAGTGGGCTCAAAAATGGAAAGAAGCTGGGAATGAGGACAAGGGTAAAGAGAGGGGCCTGAGCAAGTCATAAGGAGGCTGAGGACCAAGGAGGCCAGGGAGCGTTTCTCAGGAATAGCCAGGCCAAGAAACTTTCATGAACAGGGACGTCTAATGCTTAAATATATGTTGTTTTCTGAGCTGTGATGAAATAGGACACTTTCTTAACCTTAACCTCCAGATTCATAAGTTAAGGTTCCAAGACAAAGTGACTCTATTTCTCATTTGGGCGAATGCCCAGGAAGAAAGGAAAAACAAATCCATATGTGCTGAGAGATTAGAAAACTCAGGATAAGTACGAAATCAGAACAAGATACCGCTAAGGAAAAGATAAGCCTCTAAAATGTTGTGATGGCTTTTCCATGGGATTAAGCAGTCAGAAGAAACTGGGACATCCAGGAAAATCACATCTGGGAAACGAGGTGAGATCAAGCTATGACAGAGGAAGGAAGCTGACAACAACTGAGAGATTGGATCGCCTGCACTGATCGATTATAAGAAGAGATTATAATAATGTTTGATGACGATGATGCTGATGCAGGATGAACGTGTGGCTGGACAGATGATGGTGGGGAGACACGAGAGATAATGCCAATCTGAAGCTACCGAAATAACTGACAAAGAAACTAAGGCCATTGGATGGAAAGGCCGAAAGAGGATAAATACGAGCTATAACACAGAGTTCTCATCTCCAATTCCTGGCATATTATGACACATGAGATGGTGCTGTACTCCCCCAAATAGTACCCTAGGAATTCAGGTAGGTAGATGGAATGACAGCATGTGCACTACTCAAAACAAGAATAGAATACGGGAATGCTGGATTAAAGATACGTGTCTACGGAAAAAAAAGAAGATACATTTCTGACTTAATTATGTGTAGGTTTGTTTTCTCAAACCAGACTATAAGATTATTGTGTGCAGGTCTCACAGACTACTGCACATAAATGTTTCTTAATGACAGTCGTCTATTTTGGGTACAATCTATGGCCTCTTATTCGTTAGAAATTGAACCCATAATTTTTAGCTGGGCACATGGCTGCTTAGAATAAACACTACATTTTTCAGTATCCATTGAAGCTAGGTAAGGCTTTGGAAGTATAAATAAGCCAGTGAGATGTAAAAGAATCTTTAATTATACAAGGTATGTCTTTTTTAATTGAGTGCAACTCAATTAAACTACTTAAGATTGGGGAGCCACAAATGGGTAACAGTGGCCAAGATAGAGAGAACCTGGTTCCCCGTCAACTTCATGTAGTCAGTCCCCAGACCAGCCACAGACTACTTAACTCTAGATTTCCCTAAGATCAATTTGAAAGAAACTCCAGTCTTGTTTATATTCTTGTTACATGGAATTTTCTACTACTTGCCGCCAAGTCTAGTTCCGACTGCCTTGATTATTTTTTCTATTTGCTTCAGTTCTGTTTTTTTTTTTTTTAAATCTCTAAATATACCTTTTTAAAAAACATTTAGAAATATTTTGAAATGCTGACCAGGCATTCTTTACACTTGTTTGAGAAAGTCTTTCATCTGGTAAGTGGCATGGTAAAATCATCCCTATAAATACAACTTTGGTTACCACAGAAGCTTATTGGAATATCGGATGTTTGATTAATATGTTTGCTCACCAAAGAGATCGACCAAACCTCTACTGAAAACAGTACTTACAGTGGTCAAGTCTTAGGCTAAGGCCATTTGGCGAAGTGGATATTTGACTGACTCTGCAGAGAAGACAGCTACAAACAGCAGAGAGGAATGAATCTCTTTTTTCCCTTGAACCCATACAAGTCATTATGGTACATAGAACATTCGAACAGAACTGTGTAGCACTGGATTTTAATTATGTACAGAAAATTAAACATTTTAAGTCTTTTGCTAATGACTCACACTCTCCTACTTTTTACTCTGACATGCTCACATTGGATTAAAAATTATAAGCCTCTAATAAGGTATTTCCTTTCAACTGATTTTTCTCACTTAGACAATACTTTTGAGACATAGTATTCCAAATATCACCCATTCTAAATTCCTTGTTTTAAAGATGAAATGACCCAAAAAGATAACCAAACTTAACTAATTCTTGTTCAGAATAATTTTTTATTCATTCATTCATTCATTCATACTTATACACATGCATTCAATTAATATTTAATTCTCTCTCTCTCTCTTTTTTTTTTTTTTTTTTGAGACAGAGACTCACCTGGTGCTTGAGGCTAGAGTGCCAGGGCATCAGCCTACCTCACAGCAACCTCAAACTAGCAGTCCTTACTCAGCCTCCCAAGGAGCTGGGACCACAGGTACACACCACAACACTCAATTAAATTTTTTCTATTTTTAGTACAGACAGGGTCTCACTCTTGCTAGGCTGGTCTCGAACTTCTGAGCTCAAGAAATCCTCCTATCTCAGCCTCCCAAGAATGCATCAAAAAGTACTTTCACCCAATTACTATTTAATTATTAATAGGCATAAAGCATTGGGGGGTGAAGATAGCTGGAGCCCAGAATCAGAGAGGAACTTTGCCTTCTGAATATTTTCAATTTAGGTTGAGATAGAAATTATCCAGGTAATTATACAAAATAATACATGAAGATGCTACAAATGTTCCTATAGAGAAAGAACCACAAGAGAGGAAAAGAGGGTAAGGAGTAGTTAGCTATGACTATGAATAAAGTTACATTTGGGCTGAAGCTTAAAGGATCTGAACAGGTAAAAGAGAGATGGGACAGACATTGCAGACGAAAGGAGTGACTTTTGCACTTGTAGAGTTGATTTCTTTATGAAGCTTTTTTTTCCCTTAAATTATTTCTAACTTACACTTGAATGGGAAAGTAAAACCAAAACAGTTCTTAAGAAGCCAGGGGTGAGAACAGTGACTTTGCAAAGCTTGACATCATAGTTCATGCAGCATTAAAGTGACGCTTCTCCAGGCACACGTGACTCTCCATGAAGTCCATCAGCTGCAGGGCCATGCTGGCCTTCAGCAAGGGAAAGACAACTGTCCTATGCCTCAGAAATCAGGAGCTCTGAGCTCCTACTCACAAAATGCCATGAATTAAATGACTGAAAAAGATGCCATCTACGTAAAACAGTAGGGTTTCAATTTACAAAGGAAAATCCACACAAAAGTGAAGTATTAAGAAAAATAAATGCATCTTCCCTCATGCTGCAATGAATTCAGCCATCTAGGACACACCACGTTCAAACTGAAATTGCTTAAAATGCAAATGACACTTAAAAGAAAGTGATGCCATCTACATAGGTTATTAGAACTACATATTCCTTTACAATGTAATATGTGTGAAAAGCTGCTTTTTCTTACATTTGCAACTGATTATGATTATCAGCAATAGAGCAATACCGAGGACTAACGAGGCATTCATTAATTAGTAGCATCAGTGATTATGCTATATGCATATTCAGAGGATTTTGTTTATGACTTTTGCAACTATAAACTAAAAATCCAGTTTCTACAGGAGCACTCATTTCATAGCATATTTTACAGTCCACCTGAAAGGAAATTTGAATTTTAGCTACAAAATCTGCAGGTACCCTTCAGCCACTGACCTTGCTGTCTTCTCTCTCCTTGGCTTTTCCTTGGAGGGGTTTCATCTCTCCAAATTCACAGGCTGATTGTAATGTAAGCTGACAAGAAAGCATTGAGCTCTCTGTTTCAGCAAGTTCCAAAGGTCTTGAAGAATAATGCTGCGACCCAGTAGTGCCAAGATTTGGTATCGGAAGAGCAGTATGAACAGGCTTTGACCCAACGGCTGGCCGCCTCCCTTCTGAGGCAGCCCCAAGTACAGGCATGGCTTCTATAAAAGTATCTTCTTGCTGCCAAAAAAAATGCTTCTAACCTCAGTCTGGTAGACTCCAACGTTAGTATTTCCAGAACAAATACTTTAAACAAAACTAGCAGTCATCCTGATTTTTTTTAAAAACTAATAACATAACTTTCAGGAAGAGGCAAAACTTCCCTTCATCTTGACTTAAGTATCTTTCTTGCTTGCTGGCTGAGAATTTCATAATCTCAGTCCCTCTCTCTCTCTCTCTCCTCCCGGTTTTTTCTGTTCAATGAGTCAGTGTCTATGCAATAATAAATACTCCTTTGGGGAGCAAACTTTTCTGAAAGGTAACTGCTCCAAAGCTCCTTCTCCAGAAGGGAAGAGTTACCAGATTTGCTTTTTCTTCTCACTAAAGCTGCCTGACACTGAGCTTGGAGAGCAAAAAGGTCAGGGGGAGGGAAGGAAAGGCCCTTCAGCCCAATTTTAAGGACGGCCAAAACACCACAATAGTGGAAGGACAGCAGTTCTTCCTGACTTCAGAAATAACCAGCCTGCGTTCTCTTTTTAAAGAAAAGCATATTTCCCCAGCTTAAAAAAAAAAAAAGAAAGAATGGACATGTTAATGGCCAAGACAAACAGCTGCTGGAAGAACTTTTAGCCCGGAAATAATCTCAGCAATAAAGTTGTTTGTCTGATTTCCAGCTATTTTTCACTACTGACAGCCGTGAGCCACACTGTGCGCTCTGTGTCATCCCATGAAATCAGGAGAAATTCACGCAAAAGGGCACCCGGCTAAAGCAGCTAAACCCTTCAGCAGAACATGCCTGCCTGGGCTATGAAAATACAGTAAACTCAGACAGCTAAACACCAGGTATCATAATAATGATGATGATGTAAAAATAGTCACAACTAATGCTTATGGAGAGTGTACTACATACAGCTACTAAGCTAGGCGGTTCACGTGTTATCACAGCAAATCTTTGGAATAACTTAAAGTACAGGCACATTTATTTCTTTACTTTACATAAGGGTAATTAGGACTCAGATATATTGAATAAATTGACCAAAATCGTCAAACTAGAAAGTAGGGGAAACTATATTGTTTAAACTTTAAAAAAACAATTTAAAATAACAACATCATTTGAACTTATTAAATGCAACTTAAAATCCAAAGCAACTAAAAAGTGTCTACACATATACTTTATGACACTGAATGGTGCTTCTATTCATAATATTGCTTTCTTATAATTGTATCATGTTCCATTTCTGTAAAAAGTCAGGAACTGTAACAGCAGCAAGGTGTAAATTAAAACCAAAACACCTGATGGATATGGATTATTGTCCCCAAAGCATTTGAACTTAGAAAATAGGGGTACAGGGAGAAATTCCGCCATCATTTAGTAAAAATTATATTTCCGTGAGAGTGTTGAGATCTCAATGGCAATTTTTTTCTAATAAGAATTTTATTTCATCTCTCTCATTTCTTTTTGAGAATTCCAGAAGGCACGTATTTACTACTGCTTCTCTGTTTTATTTAATAATTGTTATAGTCACCAAATATTGTAGGAATCAGTAATAATGCAGGAATGTCATTAGAGAACTGAGTAGACATTCAGTAAGTGGTGCCAATTATTAGAATCATAACGATTTTATAGAAAATATATGTCTTTGGTGAAAATGTCTCCCTTAAGTTACAGAATGATAATCTTCGAGCTACCTTGTCCGGTTCTGTAAGTGATTACGTACTTTTATATGAAAAGGAATAATTTATAGATGAAGGAAACAATAATTAAAGTAAAATGTATATATTCTTGCTGATGCAGCACAGAAGAAAGTGAAATACAAATTACAAATCTTGCGGATGTTAAAAAAACCCAAGTGGGCCTTACCCAGTAGGATAATAAGAAACAAATACAGCACTAGTGGTGCCGAAGAAATGAAATAATCTCTCTAAGGAAGTACACTGCTTTGTAAGTTATAAACCATTCCACACACTGCAACTTACAGAGACTAGAAGACATTGCAGAGCTGGAGGTGTTCATGTTCCTAGAATGAGATTTATGGGGTATAGCAACATATTTATCCTATAATACATTGCATACAGAATGGTACCTAAAATAATAGACTTTAATGGGAAATATTGTGGAAAGACCATTCAAACGATATGCAACTTTGGTAGTAGTTGCCTAGAAAAATTAATATTGGAACATAGAAAATAATTTGGACTACCTACAGAAGTGGCTCAGCCAAAACTATTTTTTTTCATTGAGTAGAAATTCTGGCAATGCTAATTACAATTAATGGGGAAAACCCAGTGGGAAGGCAAACTCTAAGCCAATGGGCTTGCCGCTGAAGTGAGACAGAGTCAGAATAACCTACAAATAAATATACAGTGTAAATATTGAAGAGGTGCACAAGGGTAGGGGTTCGTTCTTCGATGACAGCGCCCTAGACAGAGGTACTCAATATTTTGTATTTTTTTTAAGTTTTCTTAAAACTAAGCCAAAAGAGCTCCTGTTGACTAGCTAACAGTCAAGCTGAAGGCTTTCCCCCCACCCATTGCAGTAATGCTATTCTATTCTCCCTCCCTTTGCCTAAAATGAACCATGTATAAATAAAGCTACACAGCTTCTGTGCTACACCAACATAATTGTCCTATTTACCAACTGAAAACGAGAGCTAACTGCTATTTTAGAAACAAATGTTGGGGCAACACACACTGTAATTCCTGTAACAATTAAATTGAAAAAAAGTGTTCGCATTCAATAAGATCTATGTGCACTTTGAAATGTCTTTCACATATTAGGCAACAAGAACAAATCGACCTATTAAAGAAAATGTACTGGGTGGCAGGAACCGTCATCCTGTCTCATCCTAAAACATCACCATTCTGAGAACCAGGAAACAAAGGCACTTCTCACTGAGAAGTAAACTAACGAAGCTTAAGATCGTGCGTATTTTTTGTACTATACTTTGTATA